ATGAATTCTCCTGGGTTGCTGCTGATGAATTACATGCTGACGAACTGGTACCCGCATTCCACGCTCGATACCCTTTGAAACCTGGACCTTGATCACACAAAAACATTTTATTCCTTTTCCCCCGCTTCCGCCGTGCTCCGCCGAAGTTTACTTTGTGCGTTTAGAGGGTAAACACGATGATAGTAAATTGAGTGTTTACCTTTCTCTCTTATTTGCTTATTATGGTTCCTTTAATCACAGTTTTCACTTAGCTTCCATTTGCACTTACACTACTTATACTAAACTAATTTATTTCTTACGCCGCCTCGCGGCCCATCTGCCTTCCGACTTCAAAATTGCGTTGAACATTTTTTTTTATATATACAAAAGTCCAAGAAACAAGATTATACAGGAGGCAGAGGATTACAAGAAGTTACAAGAAGGGCCGCAGGGCCGATGTCCGATGTCCGATTCTACTACACTGCCCTCTCCTTCCCCTTGTCAGAGGTCACCGTGGTCGCCGCCGTCGGCGCCGGCGCCTCCCCTTCTCCTTCTTCCTCTACCCCCATCTCCTCCTCTTCTCCTTCTCCATCCTTCTCCACTTCCTGCCCCTTTTCTCCTATTGCCTTCTCTTCTTCTTCTTCCTCTTCTTCTGCACTCTCCTCCAATATTCTTCGTCGCTTCAGCGGTCGTCGCCGCTCGGTTCTCCTACTCGTCGGCCCCGCTATCGCCGGTCCCTCTCCCATACCCATCATTGCCATCCTGGTCTCCATGGCGATAAGACGGGCATGGTCATCTTCTTGCCTCCTCAACAGCTGTCGAAGGTACTGATGCGACTTCGAATTGGCCTCCCTTAAGGCCCTCAGATCGGCGAGGCTCTGCGCCATCTGACTCTCCATGACGGCAATCCGCTCACCGGAACCGCCTTCCCGCTTCACCGTCGAAGGTCGCCCCGAAAATGAGCACCGGACCTTGGAGTCATGGCAGGGCTTACAGATTACGGAACTCCGTTTGCCCGCTAACGAGCTTGCCTCGTTTTTGTGTGAAAGAGAAAGGAAGGAATCTAATGGGCACTCCAACCAACCAATCTAATACACAATATGCGAGTTCACTGCTATCAAATTTATTTAATAGCAAGGGGTAGCGTTGGCAAAGGTTCCGCAAAGCTTTGAGAGCTAAGTACGAAGCTTTGATTAATCAATTTGAATCGTTCTAAGGATTCGATATATTCCTTTGATCAAGGTAGATTCAGCACGATTTGTGCTTTGGTTTGTATTGATTTGGGTATATCAAGAATTGGGGGTTTGAATCAAAGTAAATTAAAACCGAAACACACAGACCCCTACAGAGGGCTAGAACTATGTGCTGGCACAACCACACAGCGTGATTTGCCCTTAAGACCAACGACTGATCCTAAGTTCGAAGAATACCCAACAACTGGATATACTTCTCGCAGTCACAAGGAGCAGAACACGACGTTCCTATACTCACAAGTGCCGGGCCCGAATGGCTGCTAGCAAAGAGGTTTCAGTCTGGCGGGAGTGTGTCTTTCCTTTTTACGGATTAGCACTGCAACGTCGTCCCAAAATCACTTGTATTCCAGATACATCGGATCGCTATTTATACATACAGAATATAGAGTCGCATAGTACAATTAATTTAATACAATAAACGTTCGGAACCGCAAGGAAACTTCTACACTCAATCAGATACCATTTAATTTGAATCTACATGTCCTTATTTGGTCCATATTGGTTCCAAGATTCTAGTATACCTCCAAACATAGGTAGGTACTTCAATATTCATTTAATTTAATTGTTTTTGGAGGATGACTCGAATGGTGTTCAACTGTCATTGCTGTTCAACACTTACTTCGATCGTTTGTCACCTCGTCCGGAGGCAAATCAGCTCTCCTCGATTCTAATCCTATCAATCTGATTCATCTGGATTAAACTAATTGCTTCTCTCTTTCAATAGACACCCATTGTGCCTATACTCAATCAAGGGAGTTACACATAGTTATTCATTTAATTGCATTCTTCAATATTTTCTACGTCAGGACTCTTTGACATTCATTTGATATGTCTTCGGAGCCTCGCAGTACTTCGATCGTTCTTCTAGTCATTTTCCTTAACCATGCAACTTGATTGGTCTATTAGACTAAATCGCAGTTTTTTAGATTAATGCATGATCTTGTTCTAGAAGGAGTATTTGATCATTTCTGAGTTCTAGAAAGTCATTTCGAGTCAATCCTCGGTTCATGGTCACTTGAGTAAGTTCTTCCAAACTCCTGCCAGTGTAAGGTCCAATAAGAATACCCTTGGTATGTCATACTTGAATGGTCATCCTTCGGATGTAGTCCGAGTCTGGTATAATCCTGCTTGACAAACAGGTAGACTGCTATCCGTAGGTAGTATCGGGGATGGGTAAACTGACCAACTTGTGGTAGTATGGGTATATGGTCCCTTCAACTTATTAGACTGATTCAGTATTGACTTTGACTGTCAATCTGGGTCTCAATTACAGTCCTCTCGATACAAATCTATACGTGAAAATGTCACAATTCACAATATAGACGTCTAGCCAAAATTTAGGCGTGTCACCGCCTGCTGCAGACAAGGGATTTTCTTGACCTTGCACCTCTCACAAGGCTCCCTCTCCTCTTCGTCGTCATCGTCGTCGTCGTCGCCATCGTCACCGTCATCCGGATCTCCACCAACTGACTGAAAAGAAAATCAGTGCGATATCAACAAATAGGTACTCAGATTACTCACCGGCGCCGGGACCTTTGCTCTCCCTTTTCCTTTCTCCCTCCTAATCTCTACCACTGGTCGACAAGGAGACGCCGACATCTCACTAGGAGAAGTGCCCCGTTGACTTCGGGCAGACGCCGCGTCGGCCAATAACCTGCGCCTCTCCGCTACTTCTTGCTCTTGTTGACGAGCCCGCTCTCGCGCCTCTTGCGCCGCCTTCTCTCTAGCTGCTGCTGCCTTAGCAGCCTTTTCCTCCGCAGCCTTCTTCGCCGCTGCTGCCGCCTTCCTCGCCCTTACTCTTTCTACCCTTTCCTGCGCCTTGCGGATTATGTCGTCCTCGTCCTCTTCCTCCAAACCTTCCTCGTCATGGGCGGTAAGGTCGATGGGTGGCGGTGGGGCGGGTCGTGACCTCGAAGGGCCGGCGGTAGTAGAGACGGTAGTGGTGGTAGTGCGACTAGTCATTGTTCAAACTTAGAAGTTTTGGGAACTTGGGTCTTATCGGCGAAACTATGGGCCTTTTATACGGCAAAATTGCGCACGGACCAGCGAAAATTTTCCTTCGAATTGTACTTGGTGTACAGTGTACCGAAAATTTTCACGGATGACTAACGCCAATTCCCGGTACTAACGGCATTTGAAAATTTTCCTGCTGACTGATAGGCCAAATTCCCGATGCTGACGGCCTTTAAAATTTTCTTTGGTGACTAACCAACTCCCGGTATTAATGGCTTTCGAGGGCTCAAGCCTAAGAGGGGGATACTGTCAAGTCCATGCCGCGGGCCTCCATTCCGCCGCTCGGTACTCCGAAGATCTGCTCCTTATTGTAATCTCACTCTTATTGTTCTTTCTCGCTACACATACCCTTTCGTTCTAGTCCCTTCTTATTGTCTTTTACTTTACCCTGCAGGTACTACTCGTATAGCTCCTAGTAGTTAGTCTGGCGCTCCGCACCGCTGCGCCGTTCCGTAGATATAAATACTGCCTGTACGCTACTGTAGTTCCTCAGTTTAATTATCAACTTAGATCAACTTAGATCTCCCTTCTCAACTTAACTCTTCTCTAAGTCTTCAGGCTCAACGCCTTGGAGTACTCCCTATTATAACCTTAGGACTTAGGCGTCCTCTGGTTCGCTCCTCGTCATTGGCGATACCGCCGCTCCGACCTGGCTGCTACTTAGCTCCTCTCTCTCTACTCTCGCTCTCCGGGGACTAACGGCGTAACGGCGGTGTTGTTAATAACTTCACTACTGTCCCACTCGTCTTCCGCACTTAGACACCTTGTGACTTTGGCACGGTTACACGGTGTACATGATCTTAACACCTGCAGCTATCCAGCGAAAAGCTAGGAGACCGACAGCTAGGACCTTACCGCATTCTGGAGAAGGTTGGACCTCTGGACTACCGCCTTGACCTTCCCCTGTCACTGGATCGCCTTCATCCCATCTTCCATGTTGACAAACTATATCCATGGAAAGGTAACCCCATTAATGGCGAAATACCAACACCACCAGAACCAGTATACTTAGAAGATGAAGATGAACCAGAGTATGAAGTGGAGGACATCTTAGACAGTTGGGTACAATGGAAGAAGTTGGAATATCTAGTAAAGTGGAAAGGTTACGATGCAGGACACAACTCCTCAGTTGGGCACCAAAAATTGTTCAGGCCTTTCACAAAAAACACCCAACAGCGGCAAAACCTTGACCATCGAGGGCAATGGTCATAAGGAGGGGGGTAATGTCATAAAGTACGCAGCCCCTATCATCTTCCCTTTCTCACCGTCTCGACGCCTTTACTTGTACAATACATCATCCCATCGCTGTCAACCCCCATTGATTACTGATCCACCTGACCCACCTTCTCTTTCTATCGGCTTCCGCCACCTTCCTTGCCCCTGAACTGTACAGTATTACATCGTTGTTTCTTGCAGATCGGATTATGTATATATAGCCAACCCTCCACAGCCTGGTCCCTTATCTTGACCTCTCTGTCATTATCTGGGACCAGGTATGTGTTTACTTACTATTACCTATGACTACGATACTCAATATATCTCTGTCATTATCTGGGACCAGTTTGCCTCCGCTCCGCTTAGTCGCTCCGCCTCATTGACCTGTTTAGTCGCTCCGCCTCACTGCCTTGCTTAGTCACTCTGCTCTTCTGCTTCGCTAAGTTACTCCGCATCTGCCGCTTCGTGACATTGACTCTCAGGGCCATTTTTGTACAAACTTTTCCATTAATAAAAGACACATCACTCTGTTGAATTTAAATGACTGATAACGATGGTATGACTTCACAACAAGAGGAACAATCTCCACCTCAATCCCAGAATGGAGACCAACAACAGCAGGATCCTGCTGAAGGACCTTCTCCGGCTCACCAACTTGGAGGAATTGATGACCCACCTTTGTTGTCACAAAGTTGTATGTCAGTCATACAAAAATTTGAGCATGGCAAGAAAGTCAAAGTCACAGCTTTGCTTGAGATCCAAGCCCTCCTTGCTGCAGTGAATCTCTCTCAAGAGGCCCTCACACAAAGTTTCTCACTGTATATCAAACTCCTTGATTCCATTAAGAACCAAAACAGCAGAGCAGCTGAGCATAAAGGGAACAGCGAGTCTGACATTGTTGCAATGACTAGAAAGCGGCCCATTGAAGAGGAAGAAGAAGAATCGGAGGATGATATCAATCAACAAACTACATCCCGTCAAAAGATCAATGAAACAGTCCTACCCTGGCTCAACAGAGCATCTTCTTCAAACAGAGCAAACCTTTCCAAATCTCTTGAAAAGACTTGAGTCATCCTTGCAAATCTCGTTCGAGAACCAAAGTACACTCAATCCACCATTCACCAAGAGACTTGGTAAGGATATCAGCTGGATTGTTCTCAGAAGGGATATACTCGATAGCAATGTCACCTCTCTCTACCGCATCGCATAGAAAATGGTACCAAATATCAATGTGTTTTACTTGCGAGTGAAATTTCAGGTTCTCGGAAATCACAATGGCACCTTGATTGGCACATCTTATGAGAAAAGGAGGAGGGACTCCATGATCTAGTTCTGAGAGGAAAGAATGTATACATTTGGCTTGTTGGACAGCTTTAGCAAGAGCGATGTACTCAGCCTCTGTAGTTGATAATGCCACAACATCTTGATGTTTTGACATCCAGAACATAGGTCCTCCCGGGAGGTGGAACGATGAGAGTCTACACATGAAGTGTAGCCAGCATCTGCATACACAATCAGAGATAGCCCACCAGGAGCCTTCCAAGTATAGGTGATTCCTAGATCTCTAGTGCCGCTAATATAACGGACTAGGTGCATAAGATACTGCCAATGGATCTTCTGGGGGTCATGACCAAATCGGCTGAGAATGTTTGCGGCATGCACTATATCTGGACAACAAGTAGCGGCACCAAACTGAACGGCTCCTAGATTTTCTTGGTAGGGTTTTTCATGCATAAACTCGATATTGTCTGTAGATGGAGGGGGTGTTCCTATTGAAAGAAGTGCACCTGTTGGGAGAGGAGTAGATTTGGGTTTGACATCTTGAAGACCATGATGGTTAAGGAGATTGCTCCAGTAAGCGGGCATGGATAAGGTAGCTATTCCGTCATCTCTGTCATGCGTAAGCTTCATACCAAGGGCAAATTGTATGCTGTCGGTCTGCTGGATGATCCATGAGTTCAAAAGTACTTCGCCATTTGAGCACTTCAAGCTCTTCTTGGCAGGCCTTAAGCCATTCCTCATGCTCAGCCTTAGGTAGGCGAGTAATGTCCTTGTAAGTGGATATGAGGAGATGACCATTGTGCTTTGAGACCTTCGTTCTTAAAGAACTCATCAAGTGCATTGGATCTATGTTCTCTGCCACCATCAGACATCCATTGCTTGACGTTAGCCAGGGCAATAAATTGCTGTATTGCCGGAAGAGATGCGCTCTTCTTTTTCAGGTGGCAGTGAAACCCATATGAAGTATAGTCATCTAAGAAGACAATCGTATACTTGTACTTGTGGTACAAAGTGGTAGACCATTCTTTAAGGTCTGAGTGAACAATCTCGAAGGGATATGATGCCCGACGATTAGTTGGTGGAAATGGATGTAAAGTCATTTTTCCCTTGGCACAACCTTCACAGAGATCTTCCTCATGGGGAATGCTGAAGGTGGGGACACCTTCTGCATGTTTCCTCAGTTGAGTGAGTGCTTTGCGCGATGCATGGTAGTGTAGTCCACTGAGTGGATCACTAGGTTTACAGCCCTAGGCTGTGGTGAATAATCTTTGAGAATGTAGATTGTATTGCTGTGAGTTCTTGGTTCAAATGACAGGAATAAACCATCATTGTCCCAGAAGTCAACTTTGTCTGCGTTGCTGCGAACAGTTTTGCCATCTTGTAGGAAGTGTCCTTGTGCTATAAGGAGATGACTCAACTCCTTCATATAGAATACTGGAGCAATTCGTGCTGAATGCATGAAACCTCTTACATCCTTAAAATGTATCAAGATGGTCCCAACGCCAGTAATGTAGGTAGTTTCAGTTGCAGTTGCTATGAGCACTTTTTCCTCAAGGTCTTCATACTCAATGAAGTCACTCAAGTCAAAGGTAGTGTGTTCAGAACAACCAGAGTCGTTCATCCACCATTTGGGTTGATTTCTCTGTTTACCCTTACACTTCTTGCACACAGAGTATGAAACATCATGTATGCAAAAATGTTCATTGGATATATACTTGGCATCAATATGGTAATTATACAAACGGGACAAGAGATCAGGCTCAAAGGCCGACTTGCATGTCTTTGCCACTGCAACCGATGAAGGTGTGTTAGTACATTTTGTATGATCAAGATCAGAGGAGGGGTACTGACCCCATGGTGTCCATGAATCCAGTGATTGCCAAAATCTCATGATCCAAGTCAAAGTTCATCAACTCATCAGGATCAAAAGAGGCAGTTCCTGGGACTTCAAAGTCCATAGGAGGAGATGGAGGAGGCGGCATAGGAGCCTTACTGCCATTCTCAACATCATCCACAGGAGACATTGCATGAGTGCACTTTGTCGGAGGATCAAGTTCATCATCACTGTCCAACTCCGAAATATGCCCAGTTGGCTCAAGGGTGCGAATGACTTCGGCAGTCATGCGGACACCAATGTTACGAGCACAATTGATGGCCATCCTTGTCTTTTTATGAAGACAAAGGGATGTAGCATTAGGAGGAGGATTGTAAGGAGGGTGGATGGAGTGCTTGTACACATCCGGAACACAAGGAGTAAGATCAGTACGTACCGGACCAAATTTTGCTTTCAAGTTTGTATAGACCATTTGATCCTCTCCCAGTCAGGAAATGTGTTCCTCCCAGTGAATAGAACTTAACACAACCATTTCCAAAGAGAACCTGGTAACCCAGTTTATCGAGGCAAGCTATGGAGATGAGGTCGGATGAGATGTTCAGGCAATGGAGTGCACTGTCAAAGATGAGTATTATGACCTTCCCATTTTCCACCACCATTTTCTTTGCCCTCCAGACTCCCTTAATAACCAAACCCGTGGACATCTCTGATGACTGACCCATCCTATCACACTCTGTGTAAGTCACGAAGTCATCTCAATTTCAGAAGAAGTGGTCTGTGGCCCTGTGTCTGCATACAACTCTCCAGTGGGGTGAGGCATATCAGATGCTGCTATAGCATAGTGCAATGTAGGTTCACCGATGGTCATGGATGACATGGGATTTGGATTAACAATTTCATCTTCCTTTCCTCTCCACCACAATGGGTATTGTCCTTCTTTCCCCCCTCCTTTCCTGAAGCATTTGTCCTTCAGATGGCCAACACGTCCACAGTTATAACACCACTTATCTCTGTTTCCAGATCTCGCCATTTTCCCTGCAATCATTGATTCCAGCTGTTTGATTCTTGACAACAACACAGCATGTGGGAGAATAGGGGAAGTAACCATGTGCACCTGGGAGATATGATCACCAGATACGACGGCATCAGGGCGGTTCTCTATATGGAATATTGGAAGGAGATCTGTTGGATTGCTGATGCTGCAGTAGGGTAGAGGGATGTGTTTGCTGTTATATTTTGGATTATGTTGTCAAACGCATTCATAGGAAATGCAGCTATGGCTATTTCCCGGAACTGGGAATCGGAGATAGCATTCCCAGCCTCGACTGCATCCTTTCGAAGTGCACGAAGTTGATTAAAGAACTTGTCAATCGGAATAGTCTTGCAAAATGTTAGGGATCGTAGGTTTCACTCTGTAAGTACCTTGCGCATTCCATCTTTCCTACTAAACTCTTTTTCCAATGTATCTAGGGCTTCTTTCGCTGTGTTCTCATCTACGTCAGGCATCAGAGATGGTAAAACATCAATGTGAGACTCTATGATCCCTCTGGTGCAGTCATTGCGGAATATCCATTCCTCTAGGGAAGGATTGAGGGAGAAGATGGCTGTTGCTCTTGTTGGTTCTGGAGATGGAAGGGGGACTGTCCCAGCACCTGCGTCAAGGGATGAAGAGCAAGTGGGAGGGGAAATGGTGATGATAATTGGAGGAGGTTTGGTGATTGTACCATCGGTGTCACCAAGAAGACCTCGAGTTTTTAGTGAATTCACAATCCTTCGTTTTATGGGGGTCCAGCTGACTTTGACCCCTCCGTCAAACTTTAGATCTGCGGAAACCTCTGGAATAGGAGGCGGAACAGTGCCATTACTAGCCATGATTTGTTTGGTTTCAAGATGTACAGATGCAGTGAATGTTGTGAGCTTTTAGTAGCGCAGCGAGGAGGTATTAGATTAGTCAATTTAGATCAACAGCAGTGGGGCATATAACTCATAAAACAATATAACCTCAGTGTCTCGTAGAAAGCTCTTTGTATGATATTTATATACCTATAAAACAATATAACTAATGAAGAATAAATAAAGTTAGAAGATAGATAAATGAAATGTTTAATGGACTCACCCTCAGCATCTCGTAGAAAGCTGAGGGCGGGGTTACTATATATAAATAAAATTGTTTGCCATATGCAGACCGACAGTGGAACACAGACAAAACATAAGATAAGAAAATGACACAAGATGAAATATATATTTACAAAGTGTACCTGACCGGACTCATATCACCTGCTTTGGCCTAATGTCCATTTCCATTCAACAAATGGTTATCACACAACATTGCTTCAGACTCCTCACTCCTCACCAGCAGTTGATGCATATGCCTCATGGGCGTGTACGTGTACACCGTCTGTCCGCTACGGACTCGAACGGGACTATCCTGATCGGGCATTGATTCCACTGGAGCAAGGAGGTGAGCCATCGTGTATCTCCTGCATCTATGATTTTTTGCAGCGATTGCGTCGACATCCTCGTTGCTTTCTTCATTGATTTTAGCTGCTGCCGCCGCTAGGTTTGCGTTCCAAAGTATTTGGATTGCCTGGTAGTTCGGGATATTAACCCTCAAAGGGGGAGGTTCGAATCATACGGCTCCTGATCTGTAATTAGATGCTCGGTACAATATACACAGCCCCGCTTCGCCACAGAAATCCTTTTCTTTTCCATGGGTATGAAGGAGGAGGGGAAGTATTCCCCTCGAGTTTCGTAACGATCGCCCATAACGTGCCTCCGCCTCTAACAATTCCAACATCCTTTCTGGGTCCAGTAGGACGTTGTACAGCCAGAGAAAATCAGATTGGTTTGCCGGGGTCATCAACCACTGTTGAGCCTTCTCTGGGAGGTCTATTCCCAGTTGAGTTCCCACTGCTAGGAATTGTACTCGTAGGTCTGAAAATTCGAGACCGTC